GTAGCAAGCAAGCAACGGTCCCTGCCAAGTATTTTTCTCTCTTTCTCTCTCGCACCAGTATTCGTTATGTCCGCGCAGAGGATGAATGCAATCACAATCCGTCAAATCAACAGCAGTGGCACAACCTGTCGGACGAAACAACGGCGGCATCACCTCCACCTCCGCAGTCGGCGTAGCCCCCCCCCCCCCACCCCCCCTTCCCTGACCCCGCAACAATAACCAACACACCAAAAAAAAAAACACCAACATCGATATCGTTACAGTAGCGGGTACGTTAAAGAGAGGGTTGAGACAAGCCAACATCACTCTCTTGAATCTGGTGTTCTCTCAATTCGTAGTATACGACAATAAATGTTTGGTATTTCTCAAGGTCGGTACAAGCCAAAGACACTCATTTGTATGCATCGGCAATTTTCTCCTAATGATCTCTCTTAAACCGTACAAGTAGCCGCTACTGCCGCACCTGCTTCTTGTGCATGCGCTTGGCGGTAAGGGTGAGGCACACGGTCACGGTGGCCAGCAGCCCCTCCGGAACGTTGGCCACGATGATGCCGATCATGAACACCAGGTTCTGGATGAGGGGCGTCTCGACCACGAAGCCGAGGATGAAGAACACAACCCCCAGGATGATGGCGATAGCCGAGATGATCTACAATAGCATAACAGCGGTCAGAGGGAAGGGCAGGAGGGTTACCGTACGTATGTTATGTTACCGGCGATGAGAAGGACGGACGGGGAGGAGCGCTCGCGGGGGTGGGGAGTCAGCAGCATACAGCGCACCAACCAAAAGCACACGCACAGAAAATCGCAACAGAAAAGTGCCGCAAAACAAATTGGTAGCAAACCGCAATCGTGCTGGATGCTCAGAATATATGCCGGTCGCCCTGTACAATGCCGGTGACATCGTCTGGCGCAGATGGAACATTCAAGGTTGTTTCCATCATGCCGGTTGCCCGCTATAATGCCGTTTCAAAGGGGCTGGGGCTGGCACCTACCGTATCGTACCGGGACCACTACAATATCATACTTTTTGTTGTTTCCTCACCTTGATGAAGTGCTCGATCTCCTTGTTGATGGGCGTCTCCTCGTTGTCGGTGCTCATGGCGAGACCGGCGATCTGTCCCATGAGGGTGTTGTCGGCGGTACGGCACACCACAGCAGCGCACGAGCCCTCGGGGCAGCTCGTTCCGAAGAAGGCCAAGTTCTTCCATCACAAAAAAAAAAAAAAGTGAGCAAGGAGGATATAGGTTGCAGAAGCAAAAATCAGTCGACGTCACAAGCAAAGTGTTTTTCTCAGTGTAGTGGAACCATCATGTTTCCAGGGGTTGGCGTAAGCATGTTTGAATGAGTGTGGGGTTGTTGCCCCTATCGCCAGCAGTGAGCCACCACGGCAGAACGCATGCTAATATAATGGCTATTATAGAGTTGCGTTGCCTTGCTCGGAGACCACAAGGAAGGCTCGCCTAATGTCTCCGTTCGAATAATCGAGAGTCTCTTCCCTGTGTGGTCCATTTGATTTGATGTACCATCTGCTGTGTCTACAAAACAACACTCCTGTCTTCTTTGGCTCTTCGACTTGAAGGAAGCACCATCGGTCTAAAAAAACGCACCACCAATCAACTGCCTGCGCATTCACGCTACGCGAGGCCGCTCACGCGTCTTCCCTCGATAAAACATTCAACAAAACCACGAACCCAACCAACTTCTCTACAAGCAGGTTGTACATCAACACCATCACCCACCAAAACCGTACCGTACCAGATCGTGCGCCATCACACGGGACGGCCATCACACCTGGGTTTCCATGGGGTCGTCGTGGGTGCATATGGTCTTCCGCTTCTGGGGCTCCGACTCTCCCGTGAGGGGGGCGTTGTCGACAACCATGTTGTCCGAGCAGTCGATGATGCGCACGTCCGCGGGAATCTAGAATACGTCAAACCGGTACGGTACGGTACGGAACGGAAACGATGGCAGAAGTAAGGGAAGGGGCGAAGTGAACCGAGCTGCAGCACACAAGAGCTGTATACGTCTAGGGTTTGGGTTACTTCAAGAACAAGGCGATGCTACCCGCGATGAGAACGGCACGACACCACGGACACCCAATTTGATTGTGCACCACATCATTGGCATGACAATCGCGACCTGAACCCAGGCTTGTGGCATCAGCATGACCATGATCATGACATGGCCGCCATGCTTTTGTGCACACGACGTCCCTCTCTCGCCCACGCCCCCTTCACCGTGCGCTACCCGTACAAAAGCTATAAATAAATTTAATCAACTAGCTAGCGTCCTCTTCTACTACTTTGTTAATGTTAACTTTTTAAACTCACCAGGTCACCGCCCTCCACCCTGATCAGGTCACCGCGGCAAATGTCGGCGGACTCTACAGTGAAGGTCTTGCCTTCCCGGACGACGGTCACCTGGCAAAAAGAAGAAGAAGCAAAAAAAAAAAGCGTTAGACGGACGGGAGGATCACTATTCATGATTCGAAAATTCCATCCAAGGGCGAAAGAGAGACGTGGAGAGCGTGCCGATTTCGTTAGATACCAAACACACCAAGGAGTAGGTTACCCAGAGCATTCAACTCGAAAAAACTCACGAAACGTGATGACGGAGACAGACACAACGACTACGACTACGACGACAACAACAGCAACAACACCATCATGCACGACAAACAGCGGCAACCGCCCCCCTCCCACCCCCCGCCTGACCGACCTTAGGCGGCGACATGCTAGCGAACGACTTCATGAGGTCATCGGATTTAGCGTTCTGGAAGTACGAGAAGCAACCCGTCACGAACACCACCACAGCCAGCACGATACCCAGGTACAAGTTCTCCAAGTCCTGGGTTGCGTTGGTTTTTATCGTCGTCGTCGTCATCGTCGTCGTCGTCGTCATCGTCGTCGTCGTCGTCGTTGTTGTTGTTGTTGTTGTAGTTGTTGTTGTAGTTGTTGTTGTTGATGTTGTCGTTGTCGTTGTCGTTGTCGTTGTCGTTGTCGTTGTCGTTGGTGGTGGTGCCGTCATCGTTGTGTTGTCGTTGTCGTTGGTGTTGTGGTCGTCGTCGGTGTCACGCAATCAATCATGGCCGTTGTGCGTACAAGCACGTTCGGCACACCGGAAAACCCGCAAGATAAACGGTACGGTGATGGGGTGATGGTGTATTCCGTGGGAAACAGACAGCCAACGATGCACACAGCGAAGACGAAGGGGGAAAGGGGCGGGAAGGAAGGGTTGTGGAAAAGGGGGGCGGGTTTCCTATCGTACTTAAGTCATGGAGACCGACAAATCTTCTTGGCCAAACCCTACCGGTACATTCGATTGTCTTGCTCGGGGAAGCAAAAGCAGCTAGAAGAGTGTTAACTTGCCAAGCGAACGAGGTCTCTGGTACAACTTCGGGTCAGCCGTATCTTTCTTTTTTCGATAAATTATTGCACAACATAGCTAACAACCTCGTGTCTCTTGTTGGCACTTTCGGGGCCTACACGAGTCACCATATTGCAGTATTTCTCTTCCTCTTCCTCCTGTGGACTATTTCTAGCGGGTGTTTCACGAATGCGGCGAGCATCATAATCATGATTGTTGTAGGCATAGTGCACTGCGGTGATAAGGCGAGTGAGACAGGTGACATGTTGATACCATCAAAGCGCGTTTATCTCCGTGCTTTATTAAGTACCTGCTGAAGGCCGAATCCGACGAAACAGAGGATCGCTCCGGCCCACAGCAGCAGGGAGAACTTGTTGCCGAACAACTCCTTCAGGAAGTTGATGTACCTTCGTAACACAACACATGTACAAAAGGAGGGCACACAAAGACGAGAATGAGACGAACAACATATGAATGAGAGGTATGAAGAGTATGCATACCACAAACATCTTATTAAGTCCCTGAAGGTTCGAAGCTGGAGTACAAGCAGTCGTGGGCCCTACAGACAGGGCGGGTTTTACATATACAGGGAGAGTGAAATCTCTAGGCACAGACCATTTGCTGAATCAGGTGGCCGCCATACGCAATAGGCCGGTTGACCGACCGACCTGTAACTTTACGCACCCGTACCATAGTACTCCCGGATCTTCGCCCGCGGATGTACGCAATCAAACAAATCTGTCCTTATAAAATGCGCAACCAAAGTTTACAGCTTTAACAATTCTCCTTGCCACGGTGCCAAGGTCAAGGAAGTCACAGTCTCCCCCCGCGTGCATATATTTCGTAAAGCATTGCAACACACACACTCGTACCAACACACCTTTGAGGCGGCGAATTTAAACGCGGTGAAATACGGGTTTCCGCCAGAGGCGGAAAAAAAAGAAGAGCCTTCCGCGGTTGTTACTGCGTTATTTCCACACACCATATATGTGAAGACAACAACAACAACACCAGACACAAGAAGAAGTGTGCCAATGCATTGCAATAGAGCAGTATCGAAATGCGCCCCACGAACGAACATTTGTACAAACCCACGGGGGTGAGAGAAAAGCTCGGTACACGAATGCACAGGAACGTCAAACGCGTCTGGTCTCTCTGTGATGTGATGTGACTGCCACACACACTGCTGGTTACACCATGCACATCTATTTGTTAGAAGGTCGATGAGGCATCTGCTGTAGACTATGCTACGATAGTGCTAGTAGTCTATTGGTTTATCCGGGCTGGAACAACAAAACAACGGAACAGAGTGACGTCCAGTAGTATGATACACACACACACATTTGTATGCTGGGTGGGAATTCTACTCGTCTACTGCTACGTGGAACTGCAGAAGTTCTATTTACATGTTGCTGCCCTTTCTCCAATCATCGACCTCCTGCTGTTGTGGTATTATAATGCAACAAGTACCACGTACGTTACTAGAGAGGATACACCAGGATGGCACACCAGCTCGGTGTCACTGCTGGCGGCGGAGCAAATACGTACAATAATACACGCTCGGAACCCAAAAACAGGCGGGAAATGCCAGCAGCAAGTGTCCAGCGGCACCTACAGCAGTACCTCCCTACAGGGACACTGCTGTCGTACCTTTCATTTCCCTTCCTGTTCCTTCCTACTTCCTACTCGGGCGACAGCGAATCGATTTCGGATTCGATTCTATGCATACGGCAGCAGCACGGCAGCAGCAAAGGTGGTGCTGGCGAGAAGAGGTGTTGCAAAGAAAGGACGACCTATGCATACTTCATACATGTGCATGTGCTTCCATGAAAGAGAAGCACAAGAAAGCCGGCCGAACATCTTGGTATTACTATGCAGCAGAACACTAAATCGAGAGTATATTCTAGCAGTCTTGGGCAAGTGTGCATGTATCACACAACAAACACTACACACCCACTGGAACAAGCGGGAGATACGGAAACATGAATAACACAATATCCTCTGAACACGAGAAGTGCCCGAACACATTGCGCGCAGACGCATCTATATGTGTGTGTGCTGTACATCACCTAGCGCGTGCGGAACCCACGGTACAAGCAAAAGAGTGCAAAAAAAGAAAACAGAGCGCCTGGTCATGCGTGGAAGTTGAATAAGACACACAAAAAACATCAAAGAGAAACATGAGCAGCCAAACCTACACAAAAAAGAGTACAAACCACGGAGGAAAACAAAAAAAAAGGCCGGCGGAACGGTCCGAAGACGTTGCCGCTGCTGTCTGACTGCCTCTCTTCCCCGAAGGTGGTGAACTGACATATGCATACGTTCTGCTGCTTACCAGGGAGTCTCCGGCGGGGGGGTGAGCTGGTTCTTCCCCTCCTCCTGCAGCCGCTTCTCGGCGGCAGCCTTGGTCATGCCCTGTCGCCAACCATGTGTCGTTTTAGAGTAAGTTTTGGTCGGTGAGGGAGGTGAGGCAAGCGGCACATCGGGCCCAAGGAGACCGGGCATGTCGAGATCTTGAGACAAAAATAATTGAGCTGTTGGTGACGCAAGGTTTTTGAACCGGTCGAGCAACAACCGGAGCCGCCTGCGGCAACGGCACCGTGCAGCAGCATGGGCGGTTCTGCTGTGTGCCACAGAGGGCGGCGACACCCCGGTGCGCACGCAGGCGTGCCGGGGCTCTGCGCCACGCTCCGTTGTCGTTGTCTCCCGAAAATGATGCGGAATTGACAGGGTGGTGGATGCTGGACAGAACATAAAAATGCACACACAAAAGTGAAACGTTGGAAACGCGAGCTTTTCGCTTTGTGGGACCTGGCAAGTTGCAACACACTACTGTCTGTCAGATCTACTGTGCCCGGACGGGTGCTGCCACATACTGCAACGCGGAACGGCGTGGCAGACGGGTGGCAACTGTGTCTAAACGCGGGGACGGGCTGTTTCGTCCAACTAGGAAGCCTGGGCTAACGACAGCAGTTGCCGAGCAAGCCGCTTCCGCACAAGCCCGGCTTTGCTGACGCGCACACCCGGTGTCTGCTCCCCACAACATCAACGTGTGCTCTCTGGCGCTGCTTTGCAAGGCGGCCGACACCAACACCACGACTGCACTCAAGCTGCAAAAGGCACATCCCTCCGGTCATGGCACTGCGCCCTCTCGAGAACGCAAAAAACCGACCTGGGTGGCATGAGTGCCGAGAGAGCTCAGGAGGGCATCAAGGTCCGTCTTATGATCTTCGGTGGTGTAGTTGGACTTGAGGTCCTTCTTCTCATCAGTGTTAGCCTGCTTCTTCTTGAACATTCCCATGGTGGAGCCGGTCCCCTGCTTGCCCAAGGGAGGCTTCGTGCACAAGCGCCTTGCTGCGCTCTCTCTCTCTCCGGTTCGGAAGCGCCTAGGCAGCGCTCGGGAATGACAGCCGGGGGGCTCCCTTGTACATCAAAGAAAATCGCAAGGTAATCGATCTCGCCGTCCTGGGGCTCCGCGGATCGTATCCCCGTTTACTGGTGAAATCGAAGTACATATTTGGCGTCTTGTACAAATAAATCGAAAAACGATGGATTCGTTGTGGTCTCCTGATGAAATAAAAAAAACGAAAAAAGCTATAAAATAAATAAATGCGGTCCGACAAGGTCCGCCGAACTGAAAGTGTGAGTGTCGAACCCTCTACATGTCGCGTCGATCTAAAGAAGTGAATTTTGCACTTCCGGCCTGTCAAAAAGCAAGTGTTCTTGGTGGAAGATTTGTACGTGCGTGCAGCAGGTTCATTTTTATATGCGTATTTTGGGGATGAAAGGATATATTATGCTGTTTGGTGGAATTGCATGGATGGGCAGGCAGCAGCACAGCAGCCGCAGCAGACGCCCAGTTTTGCTATCACTACAGAAAGAGATAGATGCATACGTGCGAGAGAGGGCGTATGGCATCAAAGCATGATGCAGCAGCCCCTCCCTATCTATGGATGTGTCGTTTCCTTTCGCTTATTGTGTGGTGGAGGATGTTCATTAGACTACACGATGAATGATGACACCACGCACCACGCAGTCATCGATGTGCGCCGCCTCCTCTTGTTTTTGTTTTCTACTTCCTCCTTTCTTGGAAGAAGAATTTGTTATTTCGTGCGCGCACGCACAACAAGCAAGCTCGCCATGCCGGGCACAGCAGCAGGTTTTCTTCTATTATTTCGTCCACGTATGTATCCGGAGTTTTTCCTCACTCACGTACTTCCGTGTGAGCTTTGAACCAC